ATCACCATCACCATGACCATGACTATCACCATCACCATCACTACCACCATCATCATAATTCTCCTCCTCCTTCTCCTCCTCATCATTATCATCATCAATCACCAGTCATCAAGCATATGTCACCCCTGCGCCATCCCTCCTCCTCCTCCTCCCCTCATTTTCCCTCCTCCCCCTCGGTCCCATCCTCTTTCTTCTCCTCCTCCCCCTCCTCTTCCTCCTCCTTCTCCACCTCCTCCTCCGCCTCCCTCTCCTGCTCTCTTCTCCGCCCTCCTCTCCCTTCCTCCTCATAATCATCCCCCTCCTGCTCATCTTCCTCACTCCTCCTCCTCCTCCTCCTCCTCCTCCGGCCCGTCCCTCCTCCCCCCACCCTCCTCCCTTCGCCCTCCTCCCTCGTGCCTCCTGCCTCCTCCCTCACCCCTCGTCCTTCCTCCTTCCTCCTTCCTCTCCGCCGCCATCCTGTAGCTTCCCTCCTGCCTCTTCCTCCTCCTCCTCCTCCTCCTCCTCCTCTTCCTCCTCCTTCTCCTCCTGACTCACCAGAACGCATCGCCCAATTGTCGGCGGCTGCGGTGAGACTCCATCCAGGGGCCCCGTCCGCTTTAGCCGTTCCTCCTCCCTCCACTTCCCCGGTCCCTCTCCTCCTCCTCCTCCCCCTCCTTCTCCTCCCCCTCCTTTTTCCTATTCCTCTTCCTCCTCCTTCTCCTCCCGTTTCCCTCCGCCCTCGTCCTCATCCGTCTGGCCTCCTCCTTCCTCCCTCCTCCATCCTCCCTCCTCCTTCTTCCCTTCCTCCCTCCTCCCTCCCTCGTCCCTCCTGTTCCTCCTGACTACAACGCATCGCCGAATTGTCGGCGCCAGCGAGGAGCGGGGGGGGAGGACGGGCGGGCACCGCGCCGGTGCCGCGCCGAAATCCGAAGAGAATTCTGGGTACAGCCCTGAGATGTAGAGGGTCTGTGCACTTGCTGATGCAAGCAGGAATGTAATTTCGTAGTGTCCCGGATCCCCAGTTTCTTGTTGCTGCTGCAACCAGAATTGCAATTTCGTAATGACCCGGATCCCCGATGTCCTAAGCGCTTTGTGGCGCTCGTGTGTTACTTCGCGAGGGCGGAAAGAAGATGGGCGGGGCGGGAGGAAACCATACGGAGAAGGCCCCGCTGAGGCCGCGGGGAGCACTGGGGGGAAGGGGCGAAAGGGGCGCACCGGGGCAGGAAAGACATTGGCCGGGCACTGGGGCCGCGGGGCACTGGACGGGCGCTGGAACCGCGGGGGCGCTGAGACGGTGTCCGGGAAGGGACGGAGCAGGGAGGGGCTGCGGTGCCGAAATAAAGTGGGCGGGGCGGAGGGGGCGCTGGGCGAGCGCTGGAGCCGTGGGGGGCGCTGAGACGTGTGGGGGAGGGGGCGGAAGATGGGGGGGGGCTGTCGGGGCGGAGGGGGCACTGGGCGGGCGCTCGAGCCGCGGGGGAGCGCTCAGACGGTGCGGGGGAGGCGGCGGAGCGGGGGGGGGGGGGGGCGGTGCCGAAATAAAGTGGTCGGGGCGGAGGGGGCACTGGGCGGGCGCAGGAACCGCGGGGGCGCTGAGACGGCGCGGGGGAGGGGGCGGAGCGGGGAGGGGGGGTGCGGTGCCGAAATAAAGTGGTCGTGGCGGAGGGGGCACTGGGCGGGCGCTGGAGCCGCGCGGGGGCGCTGAGACGGCGCGGGGGAGGGGGCGGAGCGGGGAGGGGGGGTGCGGTGCCGAAATAAAGTGGTCGGGGCGGAGGAGGCACTGGGCGGGCGCTGGAGCCGCGGGGGGGCGCTGAGACGGCGCGGGGGAGGGGGCGGAGCGGGGGGGGGGTGCGGTGCCGAAATAAAGTGGTCGAGGCGGAGGGGGCACTGGGCGGGCGGAGCGGGGGGGGGGTGCGGTGCCGAAATAAAGTGGTCGGCGGAGGGGGCACTGGGCGGGCGCTGGAGCCGCGGGGGGGCGCTGAGACGGCCGAGGGGGCACTGGGCGGGCGCTGGAGCCGCGGGAGGGCGCTGAGACGGAGGGGGCGCATGATGATGATGATGATGTGGATGATGATGATGATGATGATGATGATGATGATGATGGTGAGTATGATGGGGGGGGGTGCGGTGCCGAAATAAAGTGGTCGGAGCTCTAGACACCCTGTGCAAGAGAATTAAAATTTCAGGATGTCCCTAGCGAAATGCTTGTTGTTCAGAATTTGTTGAGGATGTCTCGAGCGAAACGCTTGCTTTGTGTTATAGCTTGTCCTCTCCTGGGGACCTGAATTCAGAGGATATCTCAAGTGAAAAGCTTGTTTTCACGTGCCCAGGTCTTGAGGATGTCTCGAGCGAGACGCTTGGTTTCACGCCTCCAGGTTGCCCAGACAGATGTCTAGCATGAGGATTTGTTGAGGATGTCTCGAACCAGAGGCTTGTTTTCACGTGTCCAGGTCGCCCAGACGGATGTCTAGCATGAGGATGTGTCGAGAAAGTCTCGATCGAGACGCTTGTTTGCACGTGTCCACGTTGCCCAGGCGGATGTCTAGCATGAGGATGTGCTGAGAACGTCTTGAGCGAAACGCGTGTTTTCACGTGTCCAGGTCGCCCAGGCACAGCACAGCCCTCGGCACGGTACATCAATATCGATACTTCTAGCATTGCAGTCTGGCATGTTGCCTGGCACGTTCCGTGGCGCGTCCTGTGGCGAGTCCCCCTGGCACGTCGCGCGGTGCACGTCCATTGGCACGTTCCGTAGCGCGTCCCCTCGGCACGTCCCGCGGTGCGTCCCCGTGGCACGTCCCCTGGCACGTCGCCTGGCGCGTCCGTTGGGACGTTCCGCGGCGAGTCCTCCTGGCATGGCCCCCTGTCCATTAGCTCTGGGGCAGCTACTATGTGCTGAGGCAGCTCGAGCTTAAGATCCAGATCAGTTCGGTCAGGACTCGGGTGCAAAGGAGGACTCGATTCACAACGCTATAGAGCACACTCGCGGCATGGCACATCGCAGTTCAGCACAGCGCAACACAGCACAGGCCTCGGCACGGTACATCAAGATCGATACACTCAGCATTGCAACCTGGCACGTTCCGTGACGCGTCCTGTGGCGAGTCCCCCTTGCACGTCGCGCGGCGCGTCTCCTGGCACGTCCATAGGCACGTCCATTGGCACTTTCCGTAGCCCGTCCCCTCGGCACGTCCCGCGGTGCGTCCCCGTGGCACGTCCCCTGGCACGTCGCCTGGCGCGTCCGTTGGGACGTTCCGCGGCGAGTCCTTTTGGCATGTCCCCCTGTTTATTAGCTCTGGGGCAGCTATTATGTGATGAGGCAGCTCGAGCTTAAGATCCAGATCAGTTCGGTCAGGACTCGGGTGCAAAGGAGGACTCGATTCACAACGCTATAGAGCACAATCGCGGCATGGCACATCGCAGTTCAGCATCAGCACGGCGCAGCACAGCACAGGCCCCGGCACGGTACATCAAAATCGATACATTCAGCATTGCATTTGCCCGTCGCCCAATCAGGTGTCTTTGAAACGTTGCCATGCCTGACATTTCTATATTCCTTTCCGGGTTTGTGGGTTGATCATGTTTCTAGGCTCGGCTGCCGACTTCCGCCGATCTTTTTTTGTTCGATCGCCGATTCGACTGGTCGATTCGATGCTGGGCTCTCCTGCCGTCGGCGCGCCCTCCCGGCGCGCCGCCCCTACTCTGGCCACGCGCGCGCAGGGGTACACAGCGTAAGACCATTCGGCCCCCCCTCACTCTGACGATGCCATGTTTTGCCCGGAGGAGGCCTTGGAGGAGCGAACACAGTCGGGAGGAGAGCAGCGGCGACGAGGACGAGGACTGAGCAGGAGTAAGATGCGGAGGAGGACGACGAAGAGGGGGAGGAGGGAAGGAGAAGGATCTCAGGAGGAGGACGAGTGAAGCAGCGGTGCAGAGTCTCTTGGGGACAGGAGCCTCGCATGCCGCGCGTGATTCCTCCGCGCGGGTGTTGCCAGTGGCACTTCGGAGGAGCGCGCATATCTTCCGACCGGGGTGCTTCCAGAGCCTCGTCAGCCTTCCGCTGGGGTAAAGTCTCGATTCGCGTGTACCCGAGTACTTGGAATCACTTTGCCGGGAACCGAGTGAGCACCAGTTGGGATCTGTTGGGGTTTGGGGCGGGCGCCTCTCTTGGGCGATCCTCTTGGCCGAATGGGCCGGTCGTTGTCTTTTCGGCACTCTCTGCAGCCTTCTGGGAACCAGTTGGGGGGGGCATTGCTTGTTGGGCCTCAGTGGGGCCCTTTTGGGCCGCATTCGGACGAGTCGAATGCATCGGAGTCTCCAAATAATGGAATATCGATCCTGCGTTGTGTTCGATCGTTGGCTTAGATTGGGATGGTTTGGGGGTCTTCGGAAGCAGCACTGGACTATCTGGGGTACCATTGGGTCTTTGCAGTGGGCATCTACTCCTCGGTTAGCATTTTCGAACCGGCGAGCACATCGCTCTCCTTAGAAAAACGTCGGGCTCCTCTGCAGAATGAACAGGGGAGCAGGCGGAGCAGGAGGAGGAGGAGGAGGAGGAGGAGGTCCTTAGCCATTTTGGCTCAAGTCATCTTGGCTCAAGAGCAATTGCCCGAATACTGCCAGGGACTGGCAGTACTCGGTTTGGGCTCAGGGTGCCGCAGGGCGTCACGATACCCTACCTGCTGTTCCTGTTTCACACCGCGCTGGTCCTCCCTGTTGGGAGCATAACAGATTGCTTCTCGTTTTCTGTTCGTGCGCACGGATGGTCAGCGGACAAGACGCCTTCGTTGACTGCGACGAAGAGCAAGGTCGAGCCCCTCTCGCGGGTTGGGAGTTCCCCGGACGACTGGGCGAGGGCCTCATCTCAGCAGCGCCAGGCTGCGATGGCTGGTCTCTCTCAGGCCCGGACATTTCCAGATGATTCAGGCAGACCACCGTCTACTCCGATTGGCGGTGCTGCAACTCCGATTCTTGCTGCGGCTGCGACCCCACAGCGCGCCCGTCCTCGAGAGTCAGATGGCGAGGTCGACTACAAGCGGCCCCGCGCGACGGATGCCGACCTCGAGGACCTCAGGCAGCATGTGGACAACACCAAGGCCGAAGTCACGCGCTCGCTCGCCGCGGTCCAGGCGGGCCTCGCATCTGTCGGCAATTCTTTCACCAGCCACTGCCAAACCCTCGACCTGCAGAAGGAGAGAAGATTCAATCAAGTCAATGAGGAGATCCGTGAGCAGAACACCAAGATCACGGCGCTCTAAGAAGATGTACGTGACCTTCGGCAGCTACTGGGCGCAGCTCGTGCTGAGAAGCCTGAGGTCACAGCTGCCGCGGCTGGCGACAATGGAAGTTTCGAGCGGAAGGCCGACATCACGGTCATCATCTTGCGCACTCAGGATGCCGCCCCCAAGCAGAACGCTCTCGTTGGCTTCCAGCCTGTCCTGGAGACTGCCAACATCCCGACAGAAGACGGGGACATCGAAGGCTACCCTCTCTCGAAGAAGTTCCAGATCCGTTTCAAAGGTGCCGCAGGTCATGAAAGTGCGCCAGTGGATCTCCCTGAATACACTAAAGGACGGGGGGGGGGTCTGGAACCCCCCCCCCCCTTCCCCCCTTGAAGGGAGGGGGGGGGGGGGGGGGGTCCGGGACCCCCCCCCCTTTTCCCCTTGGCACTGGAAAGGGGGGGGGGGGGGTGCGGACCCCCCTCCCCCTCGCGCAGGGAGTGCGGAGTTGGGAGTAGGGAGTTGGGAGTAGTGAGTAGTGAAAAAGTGCGTAGTGAGTAGTGAGTATTGGGTAGTGGGTAGTAGTGAGTAGTGAGTATGAGTAGTGGGTAGTGAGTGGCGAGTAGGGAGTAGGGAGTGGGGAGTAGTGAGTAGTGAATAGTGAGTAATTAGTGTGTACTGATAAGTGAGTAGCGAGTGGCGAGTAGTGAGTTGTGAGTAGTGAGTAGCGAGTAGTGAGTACTGAGTAGGGAGTAGGGAGTGCTGAGTACTGGGTAGTGAGTAGTGGGTAGTGAGTAATGGATGCCGAGTAGTGAGTCGTGAGTAGTGGGTTGTGGGTGGTGCGTAGTGCGTAGTGAGTAGTGAGTAGTGAGTAGTGAGTGGTGAGTAGCGAGTAGTGAGTAGTGAGTGGTGAATAGTGAGTAGTGAGTACTGAGTAGTGCGTAGTGCGTAGTGCGTCGTGAGTAGTGAGTAGTGAGTAGTGATGAATAGTAGTGGGTGGTGGCAGTGGGTAGTGGGTAGTGAGTAGCGAGTAGTGAGTAGCGAGAAGTGAGTAGCGAGTAGACAGTCGAGTGTAGCCACTAGTGAGTAGTGGGTAGTGATTAGTGAGTAACGAGTAGGGAGTAGCGAGTAGTGAGTAGTGAGTGCTGAGTAGGGAGTAGGGAGTAGTGAGCAGTGAGTAGTAAGAAGTGGGTAGCGAATAGTGGGTAGTGAGTAGCGATTGGTGAGTAGTGGGTGGTGAGTAGTGGCTAGTGACTAGTGACTAGTTAGTTGTGACTAGTGACTAGAGACTATGTGCTGACTAGTGAGTAGGGAGTAGTAAGTAGTGAGTAGTGAATAGTGAGTAGCGGGGAGTAAGTAGTGAGTGTTGAGTAGCGAGTATGGGAGTAGCGAGTACTGAGGACTGTGTAGTCAGTATCGTGTAGGGCGTAGGGAGTAGCGAATAGTGAGTAGCGAGTAGTGGGTAGTGAGTAGTGATTTGTGGGCAATGAGTAGTGAGTAGTGGATAGTGGGTAGTGGGTAATGAGTCGTGATTATTGAGTAGTGAATAGGGAGTAGTGAGTAGTGCTCAGTGAGTAGTGAGTATTGAGTAGGGAGTAGTGAGTAGGGAGGAGGGAGCAGTGAGTAGGGAGTAGTGAGTAGCGAGTAGTGTGAGTAGAGAGTAGTGGATAGTGAGTAGTGAGTCGTCAGTAGCGAATAGCGAGTAGTGGGTAGGGGGCAGTGAGTAGGGGGCTGGGGTTAGTGGTTATTGGGCAGGGGGCCCCTCGTGACTCCCTTTGGGGCTGGGGCTTTGGGGTTCGGATTCGGGGTTTGGGTTCGGGTGGGGATTCGGGATTTGGGTTCGGGTGATGACTAGGGGTAGGGGCGGCGGGGCTCCCGTGTGGTTAGGGTTCGGATTCGGGGTTTGGGTTCGGGTGAGGACTAGGGGTAGGGGCGGCGGGGGTCGGGTTCCGGCGTCAGGGGGCGGCGCGGCGAAAGGGGGGGAGGGGGGGGGCCCCCGACGACGCGCGGTGGAAAGGGGGGGAGAGGGGGGGGGGGGCCCGACGACGGATCGGGGAATGGGGTGGAAGGGGGGGGGGTGCCCGACGACGGATCGGGAACGGGAGGGAGGGGGGGGGGTCCTAACCGCATGCCGATGATAATAAAGGGACCCCCCCCCTTCAGTGTTTAGAGTTGATTATCGTCGCCCTATACAAAATTCAAATTGGGCGGCGAGCGCTGAGGCCGAACTTCATTATCACCTCGAAACGCTATGTTGAGATAGCAACATCAAGCGATGTTGATATTGCAACATCAAGCGAAGCGATCACACTTTTTCAGGATGTGTCAAGCGAAACCAATAGTTTTGGGAGGCAGACTCAAACGAAACGAGCAATGTTCTTATTATTATCATACTGTCCTCTTCTTCTTTTATATTTCTACATGTCCTCACGCTCGCCTGAACTTTTTTATCCCCGGGGATTGATTATCCATGGAAAATGACACGAGCACTTAAAAACATCAATTGTCATATAGCGCTTGTAAATTAAAATTGATAGATTTGGAACTTTGGATTTGTCCTTTCTTCGTCCTCTTCTTATTATCCTATTCTTCTTCTTTCTTAGTATTCTTCTACTGTATTCTTCTTCTTTGATATTCCTCTCTGTCCCCACGCTCGCCTGAGCTTTTTTATCTCTGGGGTTGATTATCCATGGAAATTGAGGCACATGAGCTACCCTACACGAGCACTTACAAAGAACACTTTTCATGAGAGATAAGCAATTGTTGAGGATATTTCTATGGAAACTAAACGCCAAGGATGTCTCAAAACGTGCTCGGCTTGTCTCCTCTTGATCATCTCTTACTTCGAGATTATGCTGAGGTCTGCTGGGCTACTTTTATTATCTCTCCCTGAACCCCGAACTTTATTATCCCCTGGTGTTTATTCTCACGGGCATGAGGTTGCCCCCCCCCCCCCCCCTGGGGAGATCCAGCGGCGCACCCTCGCAGGTTATGCCATTGAAGGGGCCATCCAAACGTTGTCTGCCGCCATGCGCGCGCTGGGGCCTCAAGGCGGCTGGAGACAACTCACGGCCAAGACGGCGACGAATGGCGGCGCTCCCATGTGCGTCAGCAGTGACAAGAACGCGTTCTAGATCCAGCGTGAGATCGGGCTCAAGCGTCTCCGTGGTGGACTCGAGGAGCTCTGCCCTGGCAGGTGCTTTTGCGCGGATAAGGTCAAAGGCGAGATCAGCCTCAATCGGAAAGCACTCGTTAGTCTCACCCCGAAGCCTGGTCAGTCCGAGCCCCCGCTGCTGGAGTGGGCGAAGAACCACATCGAGGCCGCCGGCCTGGACAAGACGCAGATGGCCGCGAAATGCGAGTCGCTCTTCTCGCAGGCCGACGACGCCGCTCCAGAGCGGTGTCTTTGGCGAGTTCTTCCACCTGTGGGCAGGTGGGCGACAGGATTGTAAATCTCTTTTGCGTTGCAGCTGGAATGCCCGCTCTCTCTTCCGCCACGACCCTCACCTCCGCACGATTAAGTTCAACTACCTCTCTTCCTTACTCTCCAACTCCAGCATCGTTGGCGTCCAGGAATCCCGCGGCAGTGAAGCTGAACTAGCCAACTACCTCTACCACGCCCACAAGAAATGTGACGCGTTCTCCTCCTTCTGTGTCAACGATGACGGGTCCCGGCGTAATGCTGGCGGTGTGAGTACGTTCTTCCCTCCGCGCCCCCCTCCCTTACCTGGCCAGGGTGCTGACTACTACGAAGGTAATCACCATAGGGAGCTTCACGAAGCGGGCGCTCTTTCAGATGAGGATGTCAAGGCTGCTTACCCGCAGCAAGTTGTGCTTGTGACGGGGCGGGTGCTTCGGGTCAAGCTTATCGTGGGGGGTAGTGGTGCTTGGGTTATTCGCTACAACGTGCGCAATTTTGGACCCACTGCTAACGAAAAACGACAAGTGATTTTTGGTATATCCGACGGGGCCTGGCGGTCGCAGAGGAAGCACCACATGCCCGACTGCTTGTTGTTACAGGTAATTTTAACATCCCTTCGACGCCAGCCTGGGAGCTGGTGCCAGAGAATGCGCAGAATCCTGGGCACGGCTACAGCGACTGGCGCGCCACTCAGGACAGGCAGTGGACCTTCCTCTTCTCTTCCTCACCGAGATCGATATCGACGACCCCGCCCACATCTCGACTGCGACGGAAACGACCTCCACGATCGACCGACTTTTTGTGTCTCTGCCAGGCTGGGTAGTCATGCAGTGCCATGCGACGGGATACAAAAAAGGGCAGGTTGAAATTTTGAACCACAAGGGGACGTCCGACCATGTTGGGACAGCCGTAGACCTCCGTCCGACTCCTCCCAGGGACCCCGCCACCCAACCCATCCCCAAGGCCATCTTCACCATCCCCATCTTCCGTCACTTCGTCCAGGCCAACCTCGACGCTTGCGACCTCTCTTCCCCTACCCCTCCTCTCCGACTCCAGATTTACAAACAACTACTTCGGGATGCTGCAAGGTTTGCCCGTCAGGCTATCCTAACTAAGGAACCCCACTCCCGACTGGCGCAGTTTATGCTCTTGCGGTCGATTGCGCGCGCGGTCTGGAGGCGAGACGTTCGCTTGGGCAGCATGTTGGTGTAGGCGCACCCACTGGCCGCTCGACGCCGTGAGGTATACGTGGCTGCCCGAACTGTCTCGCTGCGCCCCCGCGGCGAGTGGCCCGACCTGCTGGGCCGACAACATGGCGAGGATTTAGAGCACGAGCGAGCCGAACGCCAACAAGCCCTGCAAAATCATCCCCAGGCCTCTGCTAAGCGTAAAATCAGACAGCGTCTCCGGCGGCTCGAGACTCGCGCTGGAATCTGGGCCCCGTTCGACCGGCGTCTTACCCTGAAAGCCATCGAGGAGGAAAACAATGTTCATGTGGACCCTGGCCAGAAGCAGGTTCAGATCTCGAAGTGCTTGGGGGGGGGGGTCGCCGACAACAATATCGAGCAACAAAGACAAAGCCTACGTCGAGCGGTTCTCCTCCCACCACGACCTCTCCGACCTCCCACCTCCGACCTGCCGACAGCTGGAAAACCACATTCGGCGCCGACGCCTTTCCGAACCAGGCCCTGATAGGATCCCTTTTGCTGCGTGGCAGCAGGCTCCAGGTGCGACCGATGTGCTCGACGCCCGTTTGCGGTGGGTGCTGGACGGCGGCGCGCTCGGCCACGATTTCAATTTCTTGCCGGGCGCTTTCCTGCCAAAGGGGAACAAGGGCGGGGGCGAATTCGGGGCCATCCGCACTGCGAATGGTCTACGGCCTCTCGGGC